AACTTTAGGTGCTTCTGAAAACAGACATAGCCTTTTTATTAATTGAATTATTGTCTGTGATAAGTATAATTCTCATGCCCTATACATCAGATTCTATGAAGACACTGCAACTTTAAGACGTAATTAAAAATTCAGAAGTATTCTAGAGAAAAATTTTAAATTCAAATCACCCTTCAGAACATTATTTCAGAGACAGGTATACAGAGGGATCCAAAAATAATATACTCGCTGTTTGCTAGTCTGTATCTCATGAAAAATTTGACTTGATATGATAGAATTGTAGGTGAGAGAGGGTTTTATTATGCATTCGAAATGGCCAACAGCAGCTTTTGTACAATACCCATGTCACCAATCTGCACACCCAAAACTATGGCTGTTAGTGTATCTAGCATAATGGCTGCACATGATTTTTTCATATAACTTGTCAATTGTTGCCGGTTTTTGTCCCAACAATAGTAATTTTAAACCCAATATTTTCTAATCTCAATACAATTTTTTAATATAAATATGCACTGCACTAAGTATTTTTACTGGCAAAATATGTACAACATTCTTATAAACAAATAATAGGTTACAAATCATGAAAACATATGCACTAGATGCAGCATTTTTATTATTATATGCCATTCCACACGAATTACCACCTTTATAATCAAATGCTTGATTTAGGAGCATTTCATCAATCATTAAAATAACAGGCAGCTCTTCTGATAATCCTTGAAATTTCAATTTTATGTAACTTGGGAATTTTAGGTTGAATTGTTCATTTATCAGATGCGTATTAAAATCTGAAACAAAATTTCTGTATGGTCCGTGGTTGTGGCATAATAATATTTTCCAGATTTCAATAAAATTATACGCGTGTGGTGAAATCGTTCAGAGTTAAAGTTATACATTTGCTCAAGGAAAAAATTTATTTAATTGCTTTTAAATAGAATTCTCTGTTTTAAGATTGTTATCAATTTACTTACAATTTGTAAATAATGTTGAATATTGTTTTCAAAGAGCATTAAAGGCAAATAGGTTTACTTTCTCTAAAATACTAAAAAGATCTTTAAGGTTATTAATTTTTGATGGGATTATGTCTTGCTTCAGTGATTTAATTGGTACATTTCTAATGACTGCAGATATATTCAAATTGCAATCAATAATTAGCGATTTTAGAATTCTTGGATGACTGTCATTAGAAATATTAAGAACCATGGTATGAATGGGTCTGTGTATAAATATGCAGTTATTTAGTAAAATCACAGTATCAAAACAAATTTTTAGTTCATCTAAATGATAAAACATTTGTTTTCTTCCTATTCTTCCTTTTCAGCTAAGCTACAGGCTATGGCTTTTTCAAGTGCATCTCTTTCTCTTTTAAGTCTGTTATGCTCTGTTGAAACACTGGAACTAAAATAACTCGGACCATCAGGAAACAGACTTGGAATTGCTCCATTCTTTAAACAAGGATATGACAGTGGTACAATTATCTTATCATTTTTTTCATCAAAGAATTCAGTTTATCTCAGAACATCATCTTGTTTGAAGTGAAGTTCACACGTCTTTCAATACAAAAAGGAACAAATAAATAAACATGTATTAAAAAATTAATGGTTATAATTATTTTAAATTATAAAATGGTAAGCATTTTGCCATCCCTTAAATACATGCATAGACCTTATAAGTCTAATTTTATCTAATCTAAGTGTATAGCGTGTTCACTAAAGATTACTAACTTAAAAAAAAATTAAGAAATCTGGAAGAATACAAATTTTAACGGTCACTCGAAAGAGTTTTATTTTATTTTTATTTAATCATGGCAAAGCACTAAAGGGCTATCTGCCTAGGGAAAGGAATGCGCAGCCCATTTGCTAGGATTTGAATCCCGAACTGAATGACCGGTGTTCAGCAGCTTTAGTGCTCGGCTTCTGGTGGACTCAAGCAAGGGTTTATTAAGATTTTTTACCCTCTCGCTTAGCTCACAGTCTACCAGTCTGCTCTTGCACTCACTTCTACTAACTTTTTTTTTTTTTAAGCTTTATTATTAAGCATATCTTTCTTTGGACTTGCACTACGTACAATTCAACAACACAATCACAATTATTTTTAAAAGCCTAATAGCAGGATATGTTTAGAATTCTCGATGTAGTGTTCAGTCTTAGCATACATTTTTCTGTCTTGTCTCGTTCATTATATCAATGTTCAGTTTTCTTAATAGGATGACTTTTTTTTCTCCTTTTATTATAAACTTTATGGGTTTTGCATTTAGACCACACAAAATTCAATTCAATAGCAAAATCGTAAAATATTCGATACTAAAAGATATAAATCTTACATTTTCTCAAATGGCAACAATTTCATGTGTTGGAGAGGAAAATATTTTATTTCAAACAGTGTCGCTACATGTAGATTCTTCATTATTTAATTTCTTTAAAAATAGTTCAAGGCAATAATATTTGGTGGCAACAATTTGAAACACAAAAAGTGATACAGCCATTTAAAGTGGACAACGCAAAAAGTGATACAGCCATTTAAAGTGGATAATGCAAAATCCTATAACAAAATTAATAACCGCATTGAACTTTAAGCTATGGATGCTATAAAGAGCTATGGATGCATAGCAAAGTTTTGAAAGTCTAAACAATTAGCACATTGTTTTTTGTTTGTGATATGCCAAATGCACAAATCAGGTAACATATAATTGCTACATCCTAAATATTTTTCTCTTCAATTATTTGAAAACAACACTTAGTTATCAAAGTACAATCAAAAAGTTGATAATGCAGTTATGTAAAGAATATGATTAATCATCAGTCTGAAGGATAAAGCAATCCACATTCACTCCTGGCATTCAAATATAACCACAATATCGTGCGACTGGCGATATCATGGAACGCTAATCTACTTTCGATAGGGAACGATCCTGCCTCTATCAAATTTAGAAACTTGCTGGTAAGCATTTCCTCTTCTTATTCGAGGCATAAACTGGATATTGTGAGCAAACTTCAACTTTACAAAGCTTTTTTTGCATGAGAAATCCACTACACAACTTTTCTTCTATGCGGTGCTTCAGATGTCATTTCTCCCTCCTTCATCTTCTAAATGTGCTGAAATGCTAATCCATTTGCATATCCCAACTATTTGTATGTGATTTTGATGCTCGTCAGATCATTCCTTCCTGGTGTTGCAATTTTAATGGCCAGTAGTGTACATATGTGACCATGAATGAAACATGGGTATACCGCTTTAATTATGAGAATAAAACAAGAGTGCATGATTTAGAAATATGCCTTTTCTGTAAGCAAAGTATGTCATGTAGCATCAGCCTAGTGTTTTTTGGGATGTTGATTATTAATTACCAACAGCTTTGTGTCAAATTATTTTCAGTGTGGAAAAACTATTACAGTGAAGTTTCATAGATAATTTAATAGTAAAATTACATGAAGAAATAATAGCAGATGCAGGAGAAAGCTGTTGAAGGGAATTCTTTAGTAAAATAAAAATGTGCCATCATCACCTCTGTTGAGGTTGTGGCTTTTACAACTGCTGCAGGATGCTAAATTGGTACCTCAGCCATTCTATTAGTCAGATCTTGTTTCAAGTGAACTTTGTTCTATTTAAATACCTGAAAAAAAAAAAAAGACCTTCATAGTTGTCATTTTCCTTATGAAGGTGAAGTTTTTTGATGCTGTTGATGGTTAGTTTTTAAACCATGGTGAAGAAGTTTTCCCTCAGGATTGAGTACATTACAGGAATGCTGGGAAAAGCGCTTTGTCATAAAAAGGCATTACATTAAAAACTAAAACAATATTTAACCTAGCATTATTTTTTTACTCATTTATGAACATTTTCACTGTTCTTCGTATACATGAAAAAGACTAAAATCTCCTGCTATGCTTCAGTTACTTTAAAAAAATGTATAACTGTGATGGCAATCTATTAATGTTGAAACTATAAATTTGAAAAACTGACTGAAAAGAGATTTCAAAAAGAACATTTGTTTAGCAAAGATGAAGGGGGAGAGTGAAGACGTGATCCTACTTTCTCTTCAAGATACAATCCATCGCAATGATATATGTACAGAAATTTTCTCATTTGTCATTGTTGTGAATTTGGAGTTGTTCTCGCTGTAGCGTTTATTTCTTTGAACTTTTGTGCAACACTACTCTTGGGCAGCCATGAAGAGAGCTTGCCACTTTAGTTCTCCGTATGAAACTATGTAACTCTAATTGTAAATAATTTTGTTTATTAAAGTTTGTGTTGTGAAAATTACAGCAGTCCACTAATTCGGCAGATATTATGAAACGAAATGGCTGATACAATGTATCAAATTAAAAAAAAAATTATACAGTCATGATACTAATGGAAAACATTCGAAGAATTTTATTTATAGTACTTTTTTTTAGACTTAAAATTAATTAGCTTGTCAAGACGATACTTGAACACTTTTTTATTTAATTAAAATTACATCTTTGTTCCTGGGGGATATTATTCATCTAAGATAAGCAACTGAAATAAACATAAGATTGTTCTCATTTTTAAGTTAAATATTGTACAATCTGAATTCTTGAGATTTTTAATAATGAGATATTTTAAGTTTTTAAAAATGCAAATAATATTTTAAATAAACTGACAGTGTGATGATAAAATTTATGTAATATAATAGTATAATAAAAGCATGTAAGTAGCATTAAAATTCTATTGCTAAAATTTATGTATCACATCTTAAATTAAAATATTGATTTACCTTTTTAGTTTATACAGAGATTTTGGAATGATTTTTAAAGAGCCATTGGGGAATGGAAAATCCATAAATGGTGATATACCATATTTAGCTTTAAAAATAATGAATTTTTATATAAATTTAAATTTTCCCCCTCAATTTTGAATTTTTAACTATAAATATCATTAAAATGATGATTTTATTCATGAAATTTTTAATGCTTTAACACAAACATTATTTCAATACTTTTATTATGCATTGCATCTTATTTCTTTTATCTAAAATATAGCAAAAAATTTTGTAGTTCCATTCAAGTACCTGATGTACCACCTAAATGCAATTTGATTATAATAAGAAAAGTCACCTATATATTCTTAAACATTTTATGTGGTAAGTTATTATTAATACTATAGTTTTAAAAACTGTTTTTTTTTTAACTTTTTAATTTACATAAATCAGTATGATAAATAATTGAGCTATCAATATGATATTAATCAGTATGATATATATAATACAAAAAGGGATATAAATAGGTTTTTAGAATCTTCATGTATAAACTTTGTCAAATATTTAAAAAATTATGTTATTGCTGTTCTTTTATTTTGGGGGAATAACAGTAGTTTTCTTCATATGAAAATATTTATATTTCTAACATTTTAATTTATTTATTCATTACGAGCACAGTGCAAATTTTCTCCATTAAGTTCTTCATTTTTTAATAATCATAATAAAACTTTATGATTATTTGTGTGGAAATGAAATAATATAACAAACGTACTGCTATATTGTAGGCAAAAACTTATTCTGTAATCAAATGGCTAATGTGTAGCATTAAGAATATTTTTAATTAATTACAATAATAAAGTAAAAGTTTGTGAAAATTATCAGTTAGATTTATCAGTTTTATCAATAAAATAAAGATAAAATTAGTAAGTGCACAAATTTTTTAAATCTCTCAATTTGTTTTGTTAATATTTAACATGTTCACAGTTAATCATGTGCTGGCACATAATATCATCTACTTGCTAGCCAATCGCGTTTCAGTGCATGGTGAGGTATATGTTTTCATATTAGTTGGCTTCTCGTGAAGTTCCGGGCACCTAACCTGGAAGTCAGTGTGTTGATGTATTGTTATAATCTATAAGATAAATCATAAATGTTTTTCTGCAAAATTGGCAACAAATCTTTGGTTTGGTAGTTTACCATCCTGTAGAGTTAAAAACCTCTACTAGTTTCAACTATAATGAATGCATACAACATTTTTCAGGTAGCCCTAAATTTACAGCAGTTCCAGTTTAGGTAAATTTAAAATAATGCTAATTTTGATGTCAGAAGGTGAAGAAATTATATTTTGCCGTTTTGTACCTTGTTTAAGCAAGCTGATTAGTTGGAAGTAGGCCTACTGTATGTAGATGTGAAGAAAGCAGTCCATTAAGGTATAGATGAAATCAACGTGCACATAGTTATCTGGAGGAATGGATAACAATATGTTTTTAATCATCCTTCATAGTTGAGGCTGGAAAGCAAATGATAGCCAATCATGCAATACAAAAGGCTCGACCTAGGTAAAATTTTATGACAATAATCACTAATGAAGCATCTGAATTCCATGCTCAATTTATCTGCTGAGGATTGCTGTATGCGGTCAGATAAAATCTTGCTCAAAAACAGCATTTTTTAATCACTGGAGGTAGGATAGCAACAGAGGGCAGCTCTTCATTCCTGCATTGTGCTGTAATTGTGCCTCCAATACAAACTTTGGTAGCCCAAACCATAATTCCACATTGCCAAGTAGTATATTATTCAGCAGTTGCAGCTGTATTGGACCTGTCTCATTTGGACCTTCTTCATCCTGTAATCACTTATCACTCAATAACTGTCACTGGCGAAGCAGAAGGGAGACTTATCTCCATACACCACTATTCTGTTTCATTCATTTATTGAATAGGTCACTAAAACTACTCTCTGTCAAAAGCTCTGTCACTAAAACACTATTGCACTTGTTTGCATCAGCCACAGTCTTTATAAAGAGTGACATGACTGAAAGCCACTTTTTGGCATTTAGCTAGAAATTATTGCTTCTGATACTGAGTGTATTCTGCTTAATGTCATCTGCTTAATTCTGCTGGGTTTATTGTGTAGCCATGCCACATTAGTAGATATATATTCATTGTGTTTATCTCTGTGTTCATGAGTTTGCTTTGCCCTGAGTATATACACTGGCAGACCATAATTTCTTTATGCAGAAACAAGACTAAGCATTTCATAAAGAATAAGAAGTTTTCCCTTTTAACCCGTGGGAAAGCACGTGCGGTGTATCATACCCAATCCCTACATAAAAGTGCAATATTCCTAACTTGTAAAACTGAAATTCTGTGCTGCATTCAGTAGCTGAGTTTCTAGTTGTGGTTGACTTTCAGAACCGCTTTTTCTTTGCCTGTGTGTTTCAGAAAAAGATTTTGTGGTATTTTTTGGAACTGGGGTATGACACATCCCATGCACTGCCCGCCGTTTAGTTCAGCATTTGTTTCTAGAGTGTAACAGTAAATATTTTACTCGCAAGGGATTTTCAAGTACTTGACATTAAATCTTGAAAATTTCTAACCACATTATGGTAAAAGAATGATCCCTATGAATTGGAGATACAACGCCTGTGCGATTTATTAGAAATTTGAAAGCGATGAAGATTGCATTTCGGAAATGAGATGAAACTAGGAATATTTCTACTCTGTTTGGTTTCGAAAAGATAAAACTTAATTCCTAATGCTCTTAAAAAGGAAAAGCGTTCTTATGCTTTCAACATTATATAACGTCATACTATAGGTAATACTATTGGAGAAAATAAAACGTCAGGAATTATATGTTTTTATATGATTAAAGGAGCAGTGGATATGGGGGATAAATGTCAGCTAATTATTCAATTGCCAGAATAACAAGAGGGGCCAATGGTAATTTCTTTCCTGCACTGAATGTTGCTGTAATAAATGCTTGAATTATTTACATTCAATGCTAATCCACCAACCAGAAACAGAAGTCTGTTTTTGAAGGACTAGCATTACAATAATGAAAAAATGAAAAAAGTATTAAACAAAGATCAGAGATTAATACTTTCCAAGAAACTGACGTCTGCATGCAAAACAAAGCAGAATTTTTGAGGAGAATTAAATGAATACATGAAATTTGAAACAACTAAGTAGAAAGATGTGATAAATTGCCTCGTGCCAAGGACAGAAGAACGTGAAGGCAATGTTTAAAATGTGAAAACATTCTGTGCCAAGAACATATGAATGTATTCGTCAAAGTGTAAAGAAAATAAAATAAGGATTGTGTATTAGAGATACAATGAACTTAGAGGCATGATGTTTATTTTTTTTATTATTTTGTTTATCTTAATTTAACTCTAAGATTATTTTGGAAATTAATTTTTTGAAACCCAATTATAATTCACGTATTTATAATACACGAGAATAAGAAAAACAGCTTTAAAACTAAATAAAACTATTTTTATTGTATTTTAAATATTAGGGTATGTGATACCCCGCGACTTCCACCGGATTAAATCTGTTTTTCAGTGTAATATTAATTAGCTAAAAATGTAAATTATTCTTCATAGAATCTGTTGAAGAAGTTTTAAGTTGGCAAAGAGAGGAAATAAGGAAATGCATACCTTCATGCTTATACTATGGGTAGATTTCAATCAAATATATGCATGCAATAAATTCCAGTGTATTGTCTTTGGCGATTTTATCTTGCCCACCAGCAGCTGAGTGGTAAAATTGCTCAATATTGGTAGTTCCAACCTGGGTTCTATTCCAGGCAAAGGGGCTGGTTGCTTGGGAGTTTTCATGGTTTTCCTCATGTGTTATGTGTATATGAGCAAGTTCCCTTAGAAAGTCTTCCACAAAGGCATCCCTTCCCTTAGGCAGATAGCCCTAGTGTGCTTGCCATAATCAATGAAACCAAACCAAACAATTTCATCTTATAATTACTATCACTTTTATTGCTTTGACAATAGACCTGGTTTTCCACTTAGACACATGCTCTTCCTAATTCAAAGAATTCTTTGCATAGCTGTCATATCGTCACTCAGATACAGAATAAACTCTACTAATAAAAAGTACTGAACATATACCTACCATTCTCTCATAGAAAACATCTGTAATGCAAATAATGGTTGATCTCCATAAGCCTATTTATTATCTTAGTATGCCTTTCTGAATACCATCTAAATGTACTCATAAAGCCATACTAAGATCAGAATTATCATTAAAATGGTACAAATGGTAGGAAATAAACTAGATAATAGATTGCAAATAAATAGGCTTATTGTCAGCTTCTTTTCAAAAGGTGTAAAATGAAAATAACTTGAGTCTTGTCTTCATTTGGCTAGATGATATAGGTAAATATGCAGGTTAAAAGGTAAAACTTGTTGTTTATCGTTTCATCATTTTAAAATATAATACCAAGAGCAGTTTCTTTTTGTATAATTTTCAGAAAATCTTTTATAAATTCAAGCAATAGTGAATCGTTGATGTATGATAAAGTTTTTAGATAAAATTTAATGCGTTGTACTTATTGGCCAGATTTAATAAATATACTCACATACTTATATTTTGTTAATTTATTTTCAGAAGTTAACAATGTACGTTTATTACATGATGCATTACAAAAGACTTTTGCTTTTGTGAAAGACAGGGCAAATGCTGCTTGTGTACCAGTGTACATTTGGATCGTGGATACATTTATTGATCAAGATGATCTGTTGTTTGGTGCCATGCTGGCATTATTGAAGATATATATCAATGTGAATAAAAGTGAATGCATTGAGTAAGTATTACGTATGATCTTTTAAAGTGTCTTGGTAATTTTGCAGCTGAACCATTTTATAGTCTTAAAAATATCTCTTTTATTTCATTTTTGCTTTGAGATATAACAAAATTTTTCAAATTTGAGATTTTACTAATTAAAAAAAATTGCTGATTTTTTTATTATTATGCCAACATTTTAAATAATTATATGGACAGAATGCAAAACTGGCCTGAAATTTTGTCATTTTTTTAAAGCATATTAATATTTGAATGTGAATAAAGGTCAATTACTTTTAACATAATGAACACCATCTGTATTCAAATATACATAAATAGTCTAACAGGCCACTTGTATTTGGATTCTGTTGCATGCATTCAGATTCAGCCACATATATTCGAAAGAAAGCAAAAGTTCTTTGTATAATGGAAGACAGTAATTGTTTTAGTGGGACATAAGACTTTGGTAGATAAAATAAATATGCAAACAAATGAAAATTGTATGTCACATGGACATTATGTATCCAAATGAATACAAACTAGTTATGGTCTAAAAATAAATTTAAGTATAATATTATGTTTTACAAATATATTATATGGCAGTAGGGAATATTTATAATATGTTAATCAAAAAAATATTTGCAGCCCAAAGAAGGTACTTTTTTTTTAATATGGTGATGCTTAATGTGTTGAACTTGTTACTTAAAATGAAATATGCTATTGATGCAATTAATAACTGAATTTAAGATGGATAAGAAATATATTCAAGTGAAATTTTTTAATATATATTCATATTTGACATGCAATATGTACAAGGTGGTATGCTTGTTAAGTTTCTTGGTCACTCAAAAAAAGTAACAAGTCTAAAAGAAATGAATCTTCCCACTCTTTTGATGTGTTTGCATGTCTGTCTATGAGAAACAAAGTAATAAAATTTCATTGTTTGAAACAGAGAGAGTTATTACTTAATTAGTGTTAAATTTATGCAGCACTAAGTTTAAGCTTATTTCAAATTAATAGTTTAAAATATACTTAAATGTTGCATTATTGCATAAATTCTTTGTTCAGATTTCTAATGATCTCTCTGCTGTGTTATATTTATGCTAGGTGATTTGTAAATAATCTTTATATGGTCACATTTCTAAAAACTTTTAAATGAATTAGTTTTTAATTCAATTATCCACTCCTGATTTGATCATTAACAAAAATTTATAAATCTTTTAATTGGAAAATCATAAGTGTCTGTATCACGTCATTGCATGTATTTGCTGAAATTTATTTACCTTTCAACATATTAAATCTCTTGGTTTTTAGTGCAGCGTTCCTTTCTAGACATTTAAAAAAAAAAAAAAAAATGAAACCATTTAACACTTTGAAGTTATGATCATATCATAATTTGTATGCATGATCCAGACTTGTTTTTCTGCTTTTCTTGAAAAAATAGGTGATAAGATTTGAAAGGTAAAAATTACATGTAGAATTTTCAAGCCGGGTGATGAAAGAACATGTATTTCATTAGCTTCTCAATAAATTGAAGTGAGATTGGTATATCATTGCACATTAGAAATATAAACAAACTTGTTTAGTATTCATAAGAAAAAGAGTTCAATAAAAATGGATCATTACATTTGTTTCAAAAACATTTAATAGTTACAAAATTGTGTTCCATGTATAAATTATCCTTGTAACAAATTAAAAACTGTATAACTCATTCTGACATGAAACTTGCTAGAGGACTTTCTCTTCTTCTCCCTAGGGTTTGAATTTGGATTATGCCACCATTGGCAGACAGCAAGAAAATGTCGATTGTGCAATTGTCTTCTGGAAGTGACATGGCATAATTTATGTAATCCACCTTGAGCTATTCTTGAACGAAATTTTCATCTTCATCTACATGATTCAAGCTAACTAACGAATTATTGAGGCAAAATGAATCCTTCAAAATATTAGAAGTTTCTACAAACTTTTCTGAGACTGTAGTCAAAAGGTGACTAAGTGTTGCGGCTAGTAGAAATGGAATTGATGCGAGTCCAAAAATAACTTGGTTATGTCGACAAATTTTCAAATTATGTTGATTATTGAAGCATAGAAATCTTAAAAAAATCTCTATTCTTTTCTGCTATTTTGATTTTACAAAAGGCCTTTTCGATATCAGATGAACTCCTATGCGATATTTTCGAAAATGTTTTAATATACGTGGAATAATTTCTATTAAATTTGGTCCTTTACACAAACAGTCATTGAGAGAGAGTGAATTTTTAGAATGTGCAGATGCATTAAAAACAGGTTGTATTTTTGTAGTTTCACTAGACTCCTTTATGACAGGGTCTGTGTGACAAGTAGTGTACTGTACTCCTTTCTCTTTTTTCTCAGTTTACTAGTTCAATAGTTTCATTCGCTTCGCAATGATAAAATATTTCTTTGTAATCTTTTCTTTTGCATGTGTTAATTAGTTTGCTTTTGGTTTTGAAGAGGTGTCTTTCTGCCATTGTATGGTTACTGGATAAGACATATTTATCTAAAATAAAGGATAGGGTTACTTCATATCTCCCTGAGCTATCTCATTTCACACTTTTTTGTTTTGTTTTCCTCACTTGAAATCCCCAAGGTGTCTAAACGCCGAAGATTGGACAAATTTGTATCGGAAACATGTAAGGATAAAGAAAGAATGGACAGAGAACTCGACATATTCGCAATCCTTTAATCTTGCCCATTAAAGTCCAGTCTAACTTGGTCTAAAAGGCTACGACATCCCCTGAAAAATATTCAATTCTTTCAGTGAACAATTGTGCTGCTGTGTCTTCTCCTAACAGCATATGAATCTCTTCTGGATTTTCTTGAAACAGACAGAGATTTTCATTCTCACGATTGTCGTTGATAAGGATTCCCCCATCTTCCATTACTTTAATCAACTTTTCGTCTTTGATCTTTAGTGATGAACAAATTTTTGTCTGGTCTTAATATTCTGTTTGTAACTCCTTTTATGTTATATTTAATAGTAACTATTTTAAAGATCATTTTTAGAATGTTTATTATGGAGAAAGGAAATTTATGTTCCTGTCACATCCTTGTGTTATTCAAAGGGGGGACATTCTTTAAGGTAAAAAATTTAATTCAGGTGGGTGGAGGAATTTTTTTAAGAGGCAAAAGTTAATAATATAAATAATTATTCGCACAAAAATTTAATTCCCAATAGCATTAAGGCTTACTGATTATATATAATAAATTTTTATTGAGCAGAAAACGAGTACGTATTTCAGAAATACTTCTGTTAGTTGTGAAAGTGTGCAACAAATACTCTTTTTTAAGGTTCAACAAAAACTCTATAGCAAGATAGCCTTAAAAGTCAACTGGGACTTGCTTTTTCGGTTAATTTGTACACTGCGCCAAAAAAAGGGGGGGGGACAATTCTATATCTTCCGTTCTATTAGGACAATTGATGAAATTCAAGTTCTGTTTTCTATGTCTTGAAATGTGACTTAGGATGTGTATTAGAGGTATTTTGACACAAAATCAGACTTTTCTGAAATAACATACCAATTTTTTCCATATTTCGATTCTACGATTTAAATTATGCCTATTAAATTTTGTAATTTTTGGTGAGAAATTTATGAAGAAATTAAAAAATTTATCTTAGTAAATTTTTTTCAGTTTGTGCCTAGAATAATTCACTTAATTCTTCATTTATAGCAACTTATTTTCTTCATTTATAGTGAAATTCTTCATTTATAGCAACTTATTTTCCTTTCCTTTTTCTTCATTGTCTATGAACGGGGAAAAAAGTCATTGTTAATACTTTCAAATAATTTAACAAAGTGGGTAAACCATATTTTCATTACTATTGCTTATAAAAAATATGCCAAAATGTAGATTTACGTATATCTTAGGAAATTTTGAATAAAAACTCTAATTGTTTGCAGGTATGCTTAAAAATACATCTACTTTAAGAGGATGGCAAAATGTTTATAGGTTATGATTCAGAATTATTTTTTGGAAAAAATTATAAAAATTTCTTTTAAATAAATCATAAAAAATAGGCAAATTTTATTTGGAATGAACCTAAATTTTGAAATATGAAAGGAATAATCAAATAAGTATATCAAATTCAATTTACATTGAGAAGCTAAAATTTTGAAAGCTAATTTTTTGAAAACTACTTGTGCGATTTTTACAAAACTTGGCAGTTTGACATACTTTGAGTCATAGAATCAAAATATGGAAAAAAATTGGTATGCCATTTCAGATAAAATCCGATTTTTGTGTAAAAATACCCATATTAGAAAAATGCTATGTATAAATCTAATATATATCCTAAGTCGTGCTTTTGAGACATGAAAAACGCAAGTTGAATTTCGTCAATCGGTTCTCTAAAATGGGAGATATAGATCTGTCCCCCTTTTTTTTTGCTCAGTGTACCTTCAAACAGTGCAGTATAAATCTTTGTATTTAGTAACCTTTTAAATATTAAGTCTTTTGCCTTGTGTAATCAAAATACGCTACCACTCAAAATTTTATTTGAAGTTGCTACAATATCCATCTCCCTTTTCAATAATCCAAAAAAGAATCTTGAAAATTTCAAATTTCAAATGACATTATTTCTAATTAGTTTAAATTCAAGATCGAAAAGAAAAGCCAATCTTTTAGGGGGGAATTTATCAATCGAGGGGGGGAATTTTGCTTTCCTTTGTTTGACATCCTTGGTGCCCAGCGAATAGGAATTAGACTTTATGTCTTCACACCAAGCATGTTGAAAACAAGCTGTCAGTTAAAGGACAAGCAAGGTCACATAAAGTGGGTAATCTTTGCTGTTAGTGTAATGGGTGGAAGAGCACTTTTCTAACACAAATGGCTGGCCTAAATTGTCCCAAAGTATTCTGCTTGAATGATTATATCAAGTGTTTTTACAGCAAAGAGGGTGAAGATTGGTACATAGTTGTATTAATAAATCAGCTTAGATGCTTGAAGAAGTCCCCTTTTTATTTGTTTTTGAAATCATGTTTGTTATGGAAATTTGTTTTATTTGCATTAAAAGAAAATAAATGTTATATTTATTTTTTTTAAATTAGCATTTATTTAATTGACTGAAATAATCTATCAGCTGTATTTGAAAGTTGGCTTATTTGATATAAGCAATTAAGCATTATCTTCTTATGAGAAGGAATATATTCATGGAGGAAATTGACCTATCATTTATATCATAAGTGAGGAAAATTGTGAAAAATCTTATGTAGCTAGCCTGTTCAACTGTTGAGAATAGAAGATGAATCACCATTGTTTTGTAGCTTACCCACATGGCTACTTGTTGCTTCACCTGCATTTCAAAATTTTCCTCATCTTAAATAATTAGATGCCATCGGGAGCTGAAAAATTACACAATAGTGTAATTTAACATATGCACAACAATTTGTTTTCACTTAAAAAAAAAAAAAAAAAAAAAAAACGAATAGGGGGGGGAACAGTGAATAACACAAGCTCAGCATTATACACTGGGCAAAATAGACATGTGTTGCATGCATACTTGGGTTGCCACTTAACTATTTTGAAAATAGATTAATATGCTTTGTGAATATTTTGTATAACTTTTTGGTGGCGATGCAGGTAATCAGAAAGTACTAGATTGTTTTATGAATGAAAATATGATTGTTTTTTTAATCTTTCTACCATTTTATAGTTGATTTTTGCAGTGGCATTTATTTAAGTTGGTATTGTTTCAGAATGAATGTTTTAAGAATAATTTTAAATTAAGATATGTGTCTGTAAGCATAAAATAATATGTACATTTTATTTTTCTCAAAGGAAAGAGAGTTTTTACATCAATTCTATCAAGCAAGAATTGAATCCTCATAAAATTTTCATTTCATTTTTACGCCAGATGGGTTATGATCATAATGAATTATTAGCTTTCTTAACATCTGATGAGACTTGTGTTCTTTTATATCTGGTTCAGTATTTGAAATGTGTGCTCTCAGAATGGGAAGTTTTTGTTGAATCGCATACTTCAGCAAGTAACAAAGAAAGAACAGGGAAAGGCAGTGTCATTGACAGTATTTTTGCTTCCCCACAGTCGAGTTTAGATATAGCAATTGTCACACCACTTCAAGTTTCAGTTCCTGAGAAGCAGTTAGTTTCTTATTCATGCAGTTCTAGTTCTGATGAAGAAGGTGATCTTGTGACAAAAAGTGGAATTTTCAATCCATCAAATTTGAAAGATTCAAAAATATCTGTATACTCTACTTTATCAGTTTTAACCAGATTAAGAGAGGGAATTCAGAAGCTGGTTCATGTGAAAGAATTCCCGTATAATGTACTACCACTTATTAATCTCTTAAAAACTTGTGAAGAATATGGTACTGCATTTGCATGATAGCAAATAAATAGAAACTGTATAGTTTGCTTTCCCTGTGCTGTGATATAATGGATATACATAAGTCATTGTTACATTGAAACCTGTTGAAAAATGTATTTTTTTAAAATATATTTATTGAAATTGATATTTATAGATAAGCTATGTATTATTAATTATGAAAATATGTTAATTTTGAAAAGAAAACCAAATTAGTGCTTGTTTTTCAGTGCTTAATTTAAGAACAATTTTACACTCTTATTAATTTTTTAGAAATACATGAGGTTATTGTTTTCAAATTTATTGTTTGATATTTGTTTAAATTTCAGTGTAATATTTGGTGATAAGCATGTTACATTATTTGAGTTTGTTCTTACCGTACAATATTTCAAGATCATATGTAAGGAAACAATTAGATAAAAAAAAAACTGAGGGTGTAGGGAATGAGGTCTGTGAGATAATTTATTTAACTATTTTTAAAGCTATTTTTTGGGTTCTATTATCGTAATGCCTGTAGGCTGTTTATTTATAAGCATTTTCAAATCACTGTTAGTAAAAATACATTAAAAAAATTTTAATGTAATTTTATTGAACAGCAAATGTGTCCTGAAATTATCTTGTTTCAGGAAAGGTGAAAGTGTACTTGAAGAACAATCTAATTTGATACATTTTTTCATAACAAGGGTTTCTTATTAATTAAAAATGGGGAGTGGGGAAGTTGTTTTTTCTTTTCCCCCCTCCTTCTTTTAATTATATTTTGGGTGTGTTTATTCTGAGTGAAGTACTCTTAAAATTGACAGTCTGTTTATTCTGACTGAACTATTATTCTGTTTCTCTAAATTGATCTTTTAATTTTTTTTTTAAAGTAAAACTCAAGTACTTTTCAAAATTTGCTGATAATTTTCTGGGAATATTATTGTAATGGCTTCGTGGTTCAATAAGGCACCATTTAACAAGATGAAACGAACATTTATTAAAATGTGGTTCAAAGCATAATAGTAAATTCAGAGCAGTACGTTGCTCTGACAGCATAGCGATATCTACTACCTTCCTCTTCTGAGGCTAACATGCAACTCTCAATAAATACATTAACCTTTCTTGGAGAAGAGCTACATGCGCTAAGCATGCTCTCTTGATCGGCAAACAATCGCCAGATATCACACCCCCGTCGTAAGATTGTTGTTGATACTATTTACAAATCAATCATCGATCTGGGAACTAAAATCTAGCAACTGTTTGCGATCAACGAAAAAGAAAAAAAAAAAAACTACATATACATTTATACATTCTACCCTAATATTCAAATCTCAATTACTATAGACATTTGCAATGTAATACCTACAATTGCACATCAATTTACTATATAAACATAGATAACACATTTTTATATATAAGCATAGATAACACATTTTTAACTTCACCCCACCTGTTCCAAAAATTATTATATTATTATAACAATTTCTCAATATTAACCAAGAAAACCAAATGATATTTTCTTTTATAAACATGAAAAATATACCCTAGTAAATTTCAATGATGACAGTAAATTATTTAGCTTCTTACTTTACATATGAAAAGTATCAATAAAACATCACAACACATTCTCTATTCAGTTATTTACATAGGTATATAATTCTATCTTAAAGTTCTCTTTAATTAATGATTGCTGAGCAATGATTTATATCTTGGGAGAAAAAATATCTAAATTACACTTACCTCGAATATTTGTTATCAATAATTCTATCTATTTCAAATTACATAAACATCTTATTTGCACAAAATTGTAAAATTATTAAAAAAGCAAAAGAAAAGCTATCCAATCGTTAACTATACAAAAATGGTTCGTGAAGATGAACTAATAATGTTTCAAAGTTCACAGTGGGGGAGTCTGGATAATGCATCTGTTTGACAGTTTTTCCGGACAATGTTCATTCTAGATTACTTTCTGCAAAGCTATGGCCCATCATTGGAATTTGGATTGCGGAGCATTGCCTCACTATAAAGGCTAGAGGATAGGAATTCCAATTTTCACCGATGAACTGAATATCCAAGGTTCGAACTTCAATGCCCATACTATATAGCATAAGCTTCATGCTCTATAGTCGGACAGCTTGTTGAGGTTTCGATAATTTCTGCTCGCGTCACCGGAAAAGGGTTTGTCCTTTTCGGTGCAAACGTGCACTATTCCGATTGGAAGCATCAAATGATGACACTGATCCTGCAATGTTGGGGTGATTACTCCCCATCTCTTAATCTTGCCTTCAGTTTTGAATGTGACTAAGGAAATTTCTTTCCATTCGAGTATTTCTGGTTGTTTATTTTTTGTAAGCTTCGTGACTGGAGGCGATCTCTGATACCCTGGGATATAATCGTGATAATAATACATACCTAACAGAATTTAAGATCTCTTTTCGTTTTCGGCGTTCCAAGCTTCCTTGATTTCTCTATTTCTCGGGATCTGGTTGATGTTCCTGATCCAATAACGTGGTCCTAAAATATTTAATTTGAGGTTTTGCAAACGAACATTCTTCGAATTGATAGTAAATCCAAGTGATTCTAGTTTGGGTGAAACTTTATCCAGATCTTGGAGATGAGTGTCGAAATCCATGGAAATTAGCTATGTCGTCAATATAGGCTCTTAAAATTGTTGAAAATTTTTCAGCCTTTATTCATTATCCCTCTGAAAAGTTGCTGCTGCATTCCTTATCCAAAAGGTAGCATTGAACTGTATTGACCTCATGATGATTTTTGAAGGATGTGTACTTTTACTTTGTTCCTCCATGGGAATTGCCCTTATCCTTTCAGTAATCCAAAGTTGTTATGGCTTTGGGCTTTTCCATACTGTACATTAAATCAATGGCATTTTGCATAGAAATCACTGGCTTCGTCACTACTTTTCAATGCTCGGTAATCTAGACACAATCTAATATTTCCATCTTTTTTGCTTACAAACTACTGGATGAGATTTCCTTGTATACTAAGATTAGTAAATTTCAATATTTCTTCTACTTCTTCATCGACCTTGGTTTTGCTTCTGGTTCTAAACTGTAGGTTCTCCTCTCCGTATTGGGTATTAATCTAATTTTTATGAGCTTCAACTTAGCTATTCAAGCTTTTCCAGTGAACAGAGCTCGGTGTTTATTGATAAGGCTTTAATTTTCTTTTTCTGCGGATTTTAAATTTTCTAAATTCAGATTCGCATCTATTAAAATCCCAAAGGGGTCGAGAGACTTTTCCTGGCAAAGTATAATTTCTCCAAATCTTTTCGTTTTCAAAAAGACTCCAATCACTTGACAAGCAGGGAATTTTCGAATTTATTTGCATGAAATGTTTTGATCTTTCCATCAGTAATTTTACTTATGAATGCGATGGGCAATATTCACGATTTCTTCTGGTCGTCCATCGTGCATAGAGTTTGTTATTTTAATCTGGGATGAGTAAATAAACTTGGTCTCCGATTTTTGAATTTTTGATATTGATCTCTGATTAGTATCAGCATATTTTTGTTGTTTATAATTGCAATTAAATTGGCTGTTCATCTGCTTTGTTCAAACCTATTTTATGCTGTAAGAATCCAAACTCCGATTCATTAGATTTATAACCTGTATTGTATTTCTTCCTGACCAGAAAACTTCAGTACTGCTAAAAGGGACCTTTGGTTGTCTTCCGAATCCAGCGAAATGGTGAGACACCCGTGGTGCAGTTTGGTATTTCTCTGTATGCAAGAGAGTATGGATGTGCTATCCCATTTGAAAAGAAGTCCAAGGGACATGATGTAACATTTGCTTGAGGGAATGTTCCACTTTCTACTAACCCATTGAAGCACTGTAAGCAGGTGTTAGAGAACCTCTTTTTCTGGAATTTTGATTAATTTTTGAACAAAGTTACTTCCGTTGTCCTAGCATTGTTAGGGATTCTGTTTCATTGAAAATTCTCCAAAAGCGCCGCAAAGTGCTTTTGCTGTCAGCTTCTCAGTGAATGTTTCCTAGCAAGGGAGGTTCAATAGTCCAATAACGTTGAATGTTACCGGCTTTGAAAAGGTATCCTGGCCTTCTGACTGGTGTGATGGGAATCTTGTCTGATTGCTTTTCTGGACTCTTCAACTGACAATCTTTGCATGTTTTACAAAAGGTTTTGACATCTTGTGCTAATCCAGGCCAAAAAAATGAATATCGTATTCGCTCCTTTTTTTTCTTATTTCAAGATGTGCACCGAAAATGGAACTATGTGCAGAAGCATTAGCTGAAAAACAGTGTGTCTTAATATTTTTTCTTAGTGATGTAAAATGCTCAATAAATAAATAATTTTTTTTTTTCCTACAGCTAGCTTCCAGCTTTCTCCACGAGGGACAGTAGCTTGTCTCATAGGCGTTTAGCAACAACAAGTGTTTTACGTAACACTTGCCTTCTCCCTGCCTTCTTTCTTTTTTCACTCCGCCGAAGCTCCTCCGTTTCATTTTAGGGGGGGGGGGACTCGATGCTGTCATTTGACTGTGCTGGGCGAATAAACTTTCACATTCCGCTCTTGTTTCTTTCCCTCTGCGCTTGATTCTTCTGCCGCAGTTAATCAACAGTTGGTGTATTTCTGAGTTTATTAAGGTTACATATAGCTTATCAGTCCTGCAATTAATTTCACAAATTAAATATAGGCTTCCATGATCTTTGGTAATAGGTACATGGCAAACTTTTGCTTCAAGTGGTTGTGTTCGAAAAGCAGGTGTTAGCAATTTTACCTCCTTGCTCTCTGGCTCTAAAATCGGAATGAGCGTGATGTACGATCGTTATATGCGTTCCAGAGTCTAAGATAGCTTCGATTTTTCTCAGAGTTAATAAAAACTATTTTTTGCAGTGGTTGAAACGATGCGTTTTGCGAATTCGGATGAGAGGATGAGTCTACTTTAGCTACGATGCTTCTTCTTTTCTTTTGTTTCGGTTTGAACTTTTGAGTTTTTGGAATCATCCTTTCCTCTCTTTACTGCAGTTTTCTTTTTCTTTTTTGTCTTGACAACTCTTGCGATTGTTGGATAGTTTCCACAAATATAACTTCCTCTTCTCGCGTGAAATCCTTCCTTGTTTGAAATCCTCTTCTCTATGTAGCAGAAATTTATCCTCGTATACTGTTGTATACAGGAACCTTGGTGATTGTTAATTCATTTG